CAAAGTGAACTTGTTAGAGTCTGTTTGTCCATTTGTTTATGAATGGGATTACAATAGCTGACTCTAGGCGTAGATGAGTAGATTATCCTATGCTAGACACTCAGGAGATGATCCCGTCCGATTTTGTTTTCCCTCTCCCTATTCTTTCATGAAGGCATCGGGGAAGGGATTGTTTGCATGATGTTTTGATTGTGTCATGTGGTTTTTGGACCACCAGTAATGTATAAATACTGTGCTGGCTTTCAGTAAAGGAGAGTTTTTTTCACCCTACACTTGGTTTCGTCTTGGGAAGTCACTGTGCCCATTATTGGCTGTGATCGGGGCGGCCATTAGACAGCTGAGATAACAGACACAATGTACAGAGCTGATCTGAGCGGCTCTGTATCTTGTGATTGCTGTGATGACCAATCATGGCGACCACAGATATAACTACTATAGTGTTTACATCTGAGAGCCCTCACCTTCATCTTTCAGTGAAGGAATGAGAGGAAGTAATGGTTTATCAATCAATATTTGTCAATGAAGGAATCAGTTGCAGCAGATGATTCATAGTAAGGGGTTGAAATTGATTGCTCTCCTGTACGTTTTCTTTTTTCCAATGAATACTAGACATTGTTGGACGGCACCATCCCTTATCCAGAAAGAGAATGCCTAGCATTCAGTCCTCTGATTAGCCGCTATGCAGAGCGAGCAACATACTATGTTTTAACAGCACAGGGGAAGCCACTTAGCACAGCACTATTTGCTGTTCCCATACCCAGAAGACACTGTAATACAATGTGGTAGCTGCGGCTACAGTGTATTACTCAATCCCAGTGGCCCTGCCAGGGATCATTTATACAGGTGAAACTCGAATAATTAGAATATCGTGCAAAAGTAATTGCAGTAATTGCTGCAAAAGGGGCCCAAACCAAGTACTGAGTACATATGCATGCTTGTACTTTTCAGAGGTCCAATATTGGTCTATGTACAATCCTTGTTTTATTGATTGCATTGATTTTGAGGTTGTGGATTTGGGGTTCTTGGGGTTTTCATGCGCTGTAAGCCATAATCATCACAATTATGACAAATCACGGCTTGAATTATCTTGCTTTGCATGTAATGAGTCTATCTCATATATTAGTTTCCCCTTTTAAGTTGCATTAGTGAAATAAATGAACTTTGCACGATATTCTAATTATTCGAGTTTCACCTGTATATACTTACATTGTGCCAAGCTGGACCAAGGTAGATATATATATACATTTTTAGGGCTGGGGTTCAGCTTTACCTTGTTTGGTTCACAAAGGAGCACCACACAGTTTGTGAAGTAGAAGAGAAAAAAATTGAGAACATTTAGAACTGGATAAACATACTTTTAAACCATTTACTAGACATGTTTGCATTCCATTAGCTGTCAGACTGTCACATGTGGCTGACACTGCCATTTTGTTTGTTTGTTTTTTGCAACCAGCTCCTGGGGAAGTAGATTAATATAGGTGCAGATAAAGGACATGCAGTAAGGTCTCAGTTTCTACCATGTACCATGAGCTTGCAGCCTGTCTTCAAAATCTACTGTTCTAGTGGATATAAATCATGTAAGAAGAAAACAATATACAGGTTCTGTGATATTACATATTCGTGCAGAAATGCTTCAGTGTTCGGAACTTTGGGATTAAAATACATAATAGCATGATAAATAATAACTAATATATGATAAATGATTCACTGTTTAAACTGAACAAATTACTGATTCACTCACTTGATAAATTCCCTCGCACTGTTTACATTTAGCTGTAATTTGGGCGCACGGGGGACCTGTATACACATCACAATTCCTGTCCAATAACTGGGAAAATCTGTAATTGGCCTTTTCTGCCGTGGCTTTTCTTTTGTTGGTATAGGAGCTTTCAGATATGGATATAATTAGCACCCAAACTGTCCTCTCTGCTCCTTCCAAGACCTTCTGCTCTCTAGCTCCCTCATCAGCACCTCCAGGACATCTCCAGAGCCTCTCCCATCCTGTGGAACTCCCTAACCCAACATTTATGGCTATTAGACATGTGCACAGCATAAAAAATCTTTGGGACGAAACAAATAATTATGCTGTTTCAGATTCAGAGGCAACGAACCTCCGAATCCGAAAGCGCACATTTAAAAAACAGAGGCGGAGATGGACACATGATGTCAAATGTCGCTGTCGTTGGGTGATGTTATTTGTATGTATGGGTGCCGCCATCTTGGACACAGACACAGCAGAGCTGCGCAAAGAAATGAATTACTATATGCCCGAATATATTTTTCACATAGTTGGGTATATAGTAGTTTGTTATTTCAATGGGATTTCGTGATTGAGCAAGTTTGTCTGAATACACATCTACTCTGTCTGCCTTTAGGCCAGGTTCACACCAATTTCCAGTTTTTGCCACATTTTTACCACGATTTTGATGAGTTTGGTCTGGATCGGAATGGACTGCCCTGGTGTGAACAGAGCCCAGAAATATCATAGGGATACATTAGAATGCTTTTTGGTCCGGGAACAAACTTCTGGTCTGGACATGATCCGAACATGGTGTGAACAGGCCCTTAGACAATACCTAAAAACGTATCTCTTCAGTAGGGTTGCCACCTGTCTAGGATTCACCCGGACAGTCCGGGATCTGAATGCTGTGCTCGGGTTTCATGGCAGCTGAGACCCGGACACACGATGTCAAGCAGACAGGGGCAACCAAAATGAAGATAGGGACTACTGGCCCCCCCACAGAAAATAGGCTCAACTGACAGTGCTATTTACATATGAATGGGTGGCACTATTTACAAATGCCGCAACTCATTTCTTTTTCAGCATCATGTCCTCTGTGGTGTCTTGAGCTGATACAGTGCTCGATGTTACATACTCCACATATGAAGAGGCATATCACTGTTGGCTGGGGGCTAAGAAGGGATCTGTGACCGCGACCTTTTTCCAAAAAGGTAAAAGCAGTTTGTGTACACAGTGGTGGTACAAGGATCAGTGAGGGAAGCTATTTCCAATCGGGTGAAGAGTGTGAAGGAGTGGTGTGAATTTCTTACCAGTGACTTTTCAGAAGATTCAATATATGTAAATTGACAAACAATGTTATTTGCTGATTGAACGTCATATCCAATTTTGGACTTCTTTATCACAAAATGTCATATGTGTTATCTATTTTTTTTTAATCACAAAGTGGTTTATATTGATGCAATAAAAAATCATTTTAAATATAGTTAAATATAGTTCACATATTCTTATCTAAATGATTCTGATGGTTTACTTGGTTTCTAGGGTTATGTTGCATTTAGAGCGAGGCACAAATAAGGTTATTATTGAATGGTCAGTGTTTATACCTCTGTTATATTGGCAGTCACTGAGAATACCTCCGTTACATTGGCGGTCAGTGTAAGACCTCCTAACTAATTCTCTATTCACTCTCTCTTGGATGTCTTCCCTGGCTCTCTCTTGGATGTCTCCCGTGGCTCTCTTCTGGATGTCTCCCGTGGCTCTCTTCTGGATGTTTCCCCTGGCTCTCTCTTGGATGTCTCCCTTGGCTCTCTCTTGGATGGCTCTCTCTCTCTCTGTCCTGGCTGTCTCTCCTCACCTATCCTGCTAGATGTTTCTCCTGGCTATCTCTCCTCTTGTTCTCATGGATGTCTCGCTCTCTCGCCTGGCTGGCTCTCCTCGCTCTCTCTCCTGGCTGTTTGTCCTTGCTCTCATCTGTATGCTCTCCAAAAAACATTGCCACGCGGCGCTAGAGTGTTCGGGTTTCTCTTTAAGAAAAGGTGGCAACCCTACTCTTCAGAGAAGCCTATTCTGCCTCTATCTATTGAAATTTGACATTCTCAAACAACTAATCCCCACATAGCTACTACTTTTTGTATTACTTGTTCCTTTTTAGATTTGTAAGCTCTCATGGGCAGGGTCCTCCTAACTCTCTTCTCATGCATTGTATTGTTATTTTACGGTTTCCTTTATTTTGTAAAGTGCTGTGTAAACTGTTAGTGCTTTATTAATTCCATATAATAATAATGTTAATTGTGTGGGTTTAAACCTCACTCTGGACTCAGCCCACTTCTAGCCCATCACTAAGAGAGCAGGGCCAACCTAAACTTTTACTGGAAAAGTATGTATAATTCATCTTAGTAGATCTCTGGAGCTACTGATTATTTTCACTGAAGGTACCCTCTGCTTATGCATGTTTTCACCACATGCTCAGTGTGAATTGTGACCGGTTTACTATATGGGCACTACTTTATTTCCTGCTATGTTTAACTACTCAGATTCGGACTGTGGTGCTGAGGATGTCATACAGCACTTCTAACTTCTGAAGATACTTTGAAATGTTCCATTTGGTATAAACATTAAGCGGTTTTGACTGTTTAGATTGTGTTGATGGTATGTTTCCCTGAAGCTTACATGGGTTATGATCTGATTGCTGCAGGCTATGCTCTCCCACAACGCTGTTTATTGTTGTAATGAGTCACTGCAAACCTCAATCCACGGCTCCACCTGGACCTGTTGTGACAAGCTGCAGAGACCTGTATTGGTGAAAAACAATGTGTGTGAGATAGATCCGCACTTCCATCCTGTCTTGTCACTGCCATCTGGTAAGTACATTTACATATTTCTATTGCAGCTCGTTCCCTTTAGTATGGAGAAAATGCAATTATCAAAATGGGGTTTACCACAGATGTGTACAAATATAAGGACAGAGGCAAACAGCTCATCAGTTTAGATCTGAGAAGAGAAGTACATGAACAATTCGCTCTGTGTGCATTGAAGGCCATTTCAGGCCATGCAAAGTACCTCCTTCCTTCCTACCCGGTCACAATTTTTTTTAATGCCTTCCCTCAGCAGTTAATTACTAACCTAAGTTTACTGTTCATGCCTATCGCCAGCATTGCTTCTGGGTCACCTCTGGTGACCTCATCACACTATGCCGTCATCTTTTGCCTGAGAGGAGCAGCCGCTGGACAGCCAGTGTCAAGTGTACATGTCACTCAGCAGCGACGTGTACGACCCTCCACCTCTGCAGTGAAGAAGATTGAAGACTCGGGACCCAACGTGTTATGTGACCATGGATTAAGTGCCGATTCTCACCATATGCATTGAGGCTGCGCTGGCCGTTGCTTCCAGTGCAGCCCTAACGCAAGACCAAGCAATTTGCCTGGTCACAGATGGGCTCGGTTCACACCACCTCTTTGCGATAGGAATGAGGTGGTATGTGCTGAAAAAAGTATGGCATGATGTAGTTTTTTTCAGCGCGGCAGGATGCAATGTGGGACAACCACTTCGCACATCAATGTGCCTGTAGAACTGAATAAAATGTCACGTGTGACATTTCAATAAAGTTCAACCAAAAAAAAAGTACACAGTGCTGGGATCAGCGCAATGGCACTGTGTCGGGCGACGCACACCAGCCGATGTATGTTTTGCACAGCAGCTGGTGTGAATCTGCCCTTAAGTAAGTATATAAGACCTTTAGCTTATTATTATTTTTATTTTTTTTAAAGAATATAGCGCTTAGTTGGGGGGGTGTTAATGCTCAGAGTTCTTCTTGCAACAGATAACCACCCCAACACTTGGCCAACAAAGGTGTTTAAACCCATCTCCAGCCAAAACTTTTTATTTTGTTTTGAATTGAGCAGGAAGGGGGTTAGAGCCTCTGCCAGGTTTTAATTGCTGTCTGTATACCTTTTGGCAGGAGACAGGGATACGTTCCTCTTCTGGCTATGTTTTTTTGTTGTTTTTTTGCTTTCTGGGCCTTCTTGACTCACTGAGAACTGCTCCCTGGAGAACTTGTCCTGGTCACAGGGACAGGAAGCAAGGGAACATCTCCCTATTGAGATCACTGAATTTTAACTCTAAACTAATCTATCAAAGCCTTATAAAACAAAATACTAAGCTGAATACTACAAGTACTTAAGTCCCCCACTGGGGAGATTTGCCCTTTTTGTCCTAATAACCATGAACAACCATGACAACATTTTACAGTGGTCACTGGAACAGGTGCTGAGGGGAAATCTTCCAATCGGGACACCTGTTCCAGTGACAACAGTCTTCGGGGGGATTCCCCCTCACTGTGGAGAGATTTACTCTCATTTGCAGTTGCATCTCCAATAGGGATGCTCAGATACCAGTGCAGATGCTTGGCATTTTCACGTGAACTACCAGGGTTGCAGCTGTGACGGGGCCCTGGCGCTCCACAACTGTCCTGAAATCATTAGTCTGTATTGTTTTAGACAAACTGTCACATAACACTAAACAAAAATGTATCTGTGAGTACTTTGACTTGTACTTGGTCTGGAAAAAATGGTATCGATGCATCCCTAATATAAATAAATATAAACAAATCATACATTAAGACAGGGATGCACAAATCCTAGGAGCACCATATGTTCTTTAAAAATGACTGCTGCTCTCCTAACTATTGAGTTTTTCTATAGTCTGGTAGCTGGAAAAGTATCTGTACTTGTTTTTGTACCAAGTACCGTACTTGGTATCTGAACATCTCTAATCTCCATGATAAGAAAGGAAGGGAAATATCCCCAACAAAAAACCGAGAGCAATAAGGGGATTTATAGCGTATTTCCACTTTTGCAGCCAAATTGGGATCAGACCTACTTTATATTTGTTACATGTTCTCATTCACATACCTTAAAGGAGAACTATGGGGTTAAGGCTTTTCCCCATAGTTCTCCTTAGGGTAACGGGAGGACACAAACTAGCGTCCTCCCGTCACCCTAGGCTCATATACTGAGACACTGAAGCGGATCCCGACAATTATGTCTGGATCCGCCCAGCTGCGTGAGTGACAGCTGGCTCTGCCTTTCTAGAGGCAGAGCCAGCTGTACCCTCCCCCGGACGTTCCGCCAGTCAGCGCTGGTGGATCGGAGGGGGGAATCCAGCCCCTCCCCTGTCGCGGCAGAGAGCCGTGACAGGATCGAGAGGTGAGTGAACGCCGGTATGTGTTCGCTCACCTCCCGATCTACTGAGCCGACCTGTGACAGTCTCATTGTCACAGGTCGGCTAGAACTACGAGGTGAGTGAAAAGCACTCACCTCATAGTTCTCCTTTTAAGTTTAAAAATTGTTACTTTACCCAGTTTAGCTCCCAGTGTTTAATTCTCCATGTACGTGGCAGGGTGGTGTATTGGGTGTTCTTATGGTTATACCGTGCTGTGGCAACATCTCATGTTCTGAGGTTATATATAACATTGTTATTTGCTTTGTATGTTTGTTTTTATTTCTGAAAAATCATTCTTAAAAAAAACAGAATTGGAAAAAAACAAATTGTTACTTGCTTATGACATACTCTTTCTGAAAGAAAGGTTTTTGGCAGGTTAATGTTAACCTAACTAACCCTGTTTGTACTATGCTGACAGATCTAATTTATCAGTTGTAATCTACACTTAAACTCTGTTTGCCCTAACAAAGGGTTAAAGGTCTAGAAGCAATTATATATGAAGGAGAGGAAGCGCAGTGTGTCCCTAGTCTTTCTATGAGGACAGCCAGAGTTTTTGTGTCACTTTAAGGGTCCATTCACACCATAGCATAGCGTTAGACGCACCATACATTGCACTACTACAGCGCACTACCTTAATACATTGCATTGCGGTGAGTGAGAAAGAGTAGTACATACATGAGAGTGGCAACTATACTCTGAATTCAGGAGCAGTACAGCCTCGTTACCATACCATCTGAGGAGGCTGCATTAGGTGGACTTTACTGGCATGCAAGAGAAAACTGTAAGTGCAGATATGCTTACAGTATAATCTGTGCTCCAGGATTTTTTTTTCTTCATAAGCCATACTCGTATTTTAGGCTTTGTAATGTAAAAGATGTATATTGTATTTTTTGTTTATAAGTTTAATAATTTGTCTTCCAGACCTTCCCCTTCACTTATACTTTGGTGCTCTGCTGAGGAACAACACAGAAATTAGGGGAGATGCTGTGGACAACATTCTATTCATACAAAAAGAAGATGAGCGCCACCCTGAATGTACGCCTAATTAGATGTCTCTTTTTATTTGAATGGTTGCTTATTTCCTTCCCCATTTTAAAATGGTTTAACTTTAAAAAAACTCTCACAACTTTTCTTTATTACTAAGAGACTGTGTCTAGGAAATAGGTTTAAAGTATAGACACCTTTATACCTGCAGCAGCTTAAAAAAAGCTTGCCTCTTAAGTTCCACCTTGCTTTTTCCCACTGGCCTTTCTGAAAGGAAAGTTTTTCTCTTTACTGAATTTTCCTCTGGAATGCACTGTGATAGGCTGCTTCCCTCTCTAAAAGGACTTTTTTCAGGTTGGGATCCCTGGTTCCAACTGTGAACTATGGAAGTGCCCACATTAGTATACATTAATAAACTACTACATTTAGAAAAAACCTTGTCTGGGGGTTACCCTTGTTCTCTAGAAATGTCCTACAATTAATGAGACAGACCCACTTAGGACAGCTATAGACCAAACACTGCAAAAATAAATGCTGGCAATTTGCTCAGTCAATATATAACCAAGAAAAGTCATGTGAGAGGGCCATTTGATGACCGCAAGTGCACAACACAAGAAAACTCCCCACCACTCAACTGTGCCACTTAGAAAACAATACATGCACTGTGTTAGGTTTTTGTTTAACAAGGAAAAGGTAAATTGTAATGAATAACCTTTGGTCTTTGTGCAAGTGTAGATCAGCTGATCATTGGGGATATAATGTGAAGGACACCCTGCACTGCACAGTACTTCCCCCACTGAAGGAGTTTTCTACATTAAAATCACTAACATATTTACTTTTACAATTGAAAGCTGAAGAAAACATGCTAAGCCTATTCTTTTCATTGACTATTAATACCATAAGGAATACTATAGAGGAAGAAAAAGAATGCTCCATCTTGATTAGCTCAAATCAACTGACACTAAACTCAAAAGTCAAATCTTAAAAATGCATTTAAGCACCTTAACTGTTAAAAGTAGCTTATTTGTGTATCACTGGGCTGTAGATCCTCAAATCATCTCTGAATTGGTGCTGACACTGTCCTTCCTTCTGGAGGGTGGCATTTTGTTCCCCATGGTCCCTGCGTGTGTTGTAAAGTAACCACCGCTCACAGCTAATGAGAGACTATCATTTTAATACAAATTGGTAAACTAATTGTGAGATTATAGTCCACCACAGAAGTGTGAGACTATAGTCCACCACAGGAGCGAGCGAGTGATGCATTTTTGTTAATAGTTACGGTACATGAATGCATTTTTAAGATTTCAACTCTTTTTTTTTATGGTTTGAGCCTAAAAAATTGTGAAGATGATACAAAATGTTGGCCCTTGGAGCATTCGTGGGAACATTGGTGGTAGTGGCTAAGGCCAACAAAGTTTCTTTTTTGTGGCTTATCCAGTCCATCACTTCCACCTGTGGCTATTGTATGAACAAATTAGTAAGGATGGTATACAATCTGCAGCACTACTGGTGCTGCTGCTTCCCACAGTGTGAGTGAGGGTGCAATGGGGGAGGGAGGGACATCCTTGCACCTGGTCAGGGAAAGCTGTAAGGTGCCTGCTTCCCACATGCATAAAAGTTCATGGCTTTACTTATGCACGGTTTTCAATAAGCAGAAAAAAGCTCAAGGCCAGAGATTTACAGCACCATTACCCACAGTTGCTGAAGTCCCATGCACTGCTCTATTTTTCTCATTCAACCCGCGGGCTAAACGGAAAAAATAGAGAAGATTTCTCCATCAACACTACGGGTGTGTCGATCGAGGAATCCCTGCTGTTTGCATTGCATTGGCCGGCAGCCGATGTCAGAATATCCGGCCAAAGCTGGCCAAAGCAGCTCAGGTCATATGAAGATTTTCTAGCCAGCTCCTTCAATCAGCTGATCGAGGGATGCTGGACGAAAGGGTGCCGTCCGCGGCACACACTGTGCGAATTTCGGCCAGTTCCTCAAGAACCGGCTGAAATTCACACAGTGTATGGGCACCCTTACCCTCGCCTCTAAAACTAAACATACATGTTCCATTCCTTGCACAATCTTCCAAAACTATATGTTTAACAAAATGATGTGGCCCTACCTAAACTATCCAATTTGTACCCAGTCAGGCAGGCCCTTGTACTACATATGCTGGCACCAGCGAGGGAGCTCATGGACTTTGCATTGCTGGAAAGGAGTTTAGTATAGTTGCTCTTTAAAGAAGAACTCCAGACAAATAAAAACTTAACCCTTGCAGTGGGGCCACACCCTGCACTGCAAGGGTTAAGTGCTCATTTTGTCCAGCAGTCTAAGGTCCTTTGAGTCATCACATCCAATACATGTGTATAGGATGTGAGGATGCCGATGTATCATCGCTGCAGTGAAGGAGGAAGGAGACAGGCTGAAGGGACAGGTCTAGGAGTGAGCCGGGATTGTGGTTTCGGTGTGTATAACTTTGTTATTTGAGCTCCCTAGACAAAACGAGCACTTAATACGTGCTGTGTGGGGGGTACCCCACTGCAAGGGTTAAGATTTTATTTGCTCTTCTAGGATCTTGTACAGTCAGATTCTTTTTTTAAACATTAATTATAACATATCTAACATAACATAAAATTAATAAGGAAAAAAAAAATTAAGAAAAAAAATGAATAAAGGAAAAAGAAAGGCAAATAGAGACATCAAGGTAATTAGAAAACCCTTTTCCAACAAGTGGAACACTGGAAACTTATCTCTATGTTTGACCTACCGACCTACACATTTTTTTTTAAAGGTTAGCTTTGAAAGTACAGTCAGAGTGTAACGTGTGTTGTGGGGCTTAACCCTTTCTCTGCCGGAGCCTTTTTTTCCGTTTGAACACATTAAAATGCACATTTTAGGCCTAAAGATTGCTTACAACTTTCAAAGCACATATTTTCAGAGAGGAGAGACCCTTTGGTGGCAGTTGCAGTTCTGTATGTTACATTATATATGCGCTACTGTATCTCAAATCTACGTTTTCAATAAAAATTAAAAATAACATTTTAAAAATACACTTAAATACATTTTAGTGCACCCAAACACAAAATACCCAATTTATTGTAAATATAAGAGATGGGGGTAGCATTGAGTAATTAGATAAAAATATGTCAAGCCTTAATATTGCACACACCCATAAAACAATGAAAACCTACAATACCCAACATTGTGCCTAGGCGCCACTTTAAAATCCTTAACAGCTCATTTAGATAGGCAGAGCCAGCTGTCACTCACGCAGCTGGGCGGATCCAGACACAATTGTCGGGATCCGCTTCAGCTGCGGCGTCTCAGTATACCGCGAGCAGTAGCAGAAAACAAATAGAAAAATGGAAATAAAACTGAGCATGGAAACGCAGCAGTCTCTCCCACCTTTCTGGACTATAACTTATAGTGAAATACACAACAATGTCCCTACCTAACCAAAGCCCATTTACCTCATCCCTGTTGACTGGGATGCCCATATACCTCACCCGTGTTGACTGGGATGCCCATTCACCTCACCCGTGTTGACTGGGATGCCCATTCACCTCACCCCTGTTGACTGGGATGCCCATTCACCTCACCCGTGTTGACTGGGATGCCCATTCACCTCACCCATGTTGACTGGGATGCCCAGTAACCTTACCCGTGTTGACTGGGATGTCAAAAAAATATGTGACACGTACTTCGGATTTATTAAAACAATTCAAACCTTGTGAGCTGCTGTGCTAAAAATGTGTATCACACGTTCATAACATCTTAAATAAATAGTGCAATGTGCGTAACGGGTTAATATATCTATTAAAGAAAAACTCCACATGAATCCACAATGCAACACAGTGGGGGAGATTTATCAAAATCTGGAGCAGTTGCCTATGGCAACCAATCAGCTTCTCTCTGTTCAGTTAAGCTTTGAAAATGATGCGTGGATGCTGATTGGTTGCCATTCACAGCTGCTCCAGATTTTGTCTGCTCCACTTTTGATAAATTCCTCTGAATGTGCTTAATTCTCCAATTAAAGTGCTCAAATGTGCATATACATAAAGATATCAAATAAAACCATCCACAACGTACAGTGTTAATAGTGACTTGTGCAAAAATTCACATCATAAATAGTGACATGTGCAAGTAAAAAAATACAAATGTTAAGCACTCGGACCTGGAACCGTGGTTTGTAAAATAAAATAAAACGTAAATCTTCAGTGCCACCTATAGTGCTCTTTTCCACCCTCAGTGAAATGGATAAGGCAGGATCCGCACTCACCAAATTCAGTAGCCCCCTTTTTCAGGACGGTCACATAGCGTTTTGGTGAAGTCTAGACTTCCTGACTTCCTCTCAATATCGTTTCACTTTGGGAGGTAGAATCAGACATCAACTTCCTTTGATAATACCAGTAAAGATTCAGGATGTCGCAATAAATCTCCCCAATCTTGTTGAATCTCCTGTGTCTGTACTTGTGTGTGTTGTGTACCCCGGTCTCACAAAGACTCGTGCGAGGCTAGTGCCTACCCTGGTTGGTCTGGCTTGCCTGTGTCTCCCTCGCTCGGTGGCTGGGACTGTAGTGATTAGAAGCCGTTGTAGCAATGTTTACCTCTACCTCACCCCTGTTAACTGGGATGACCATTTGCCTCACCCCTGTTGACTGGTATGCCCATTTGCCTCACCCCTGTGGACTGGGATGCCCATTTGCCTCACCCCTGTGGACTGGGATGCCCATTTGCCTCACCCCTGTTGACTGGGATGCCCATTTGCCTCACCCCTGCTGACTGAGATGCCCATTTACCTCACCCCTGTTGACTGACTTTTGCAGACAGCAGGAAGTCTGTGTCTTGGGTCACAGGGGTTTCTACGGATTATGGGTAGGTCGCCTGTGACACAATGAATACACATGGCACAAAATCACAGCGGTGCAGATATCCCATTACTCACAAGTATTCACTCTTTCATGAGGGAAGTACGAGAGCTGCCACAGCTGAAAAGCATAAAAACCTCTAGGTACCTGGCTGTCTGTACTTTAATGACAGATTCCCTCTAATCAAAGCTACCTCCTCCATGTTAGACTTGGTTTGTACTCAATCAGTATTCTCTCCTGCTGGTTCCACCATCATACCAGTCTATTCAATAAGATAAATATATTAGTTATTTTGCAACCAGCTCTATGAATATATTTGAGGAGATCTACTGTATATGTTTTTGTTCTGTTTGTGTTGGGTTTTCATTAATGCATAGCAAATAAAGCTAGGATATGACTACTAGCCGGGTTCACTGACCCGCAAAGAGTATGTTTCTCATTGTGCAATGGTGTTCAAAGACAAACACAAGGCAATAGGCTACACATGATGCATATCATTTGTCTCAGCAAGGCATATTTTAATTACCCCACAGTAGAATGGAATACTGGATTACAGAATGTGTCTGGTGCATGCCTGTGCCAGTGTTTTTGTCTTCTTTCATTGTTAACTATTTATTTGGTTTTGCCTCTAGACACGAATAATTTTTGTCCAATTAGTGTTACTCCAGACTCTTTCTATCACCCGAGTAAGGATGAAAGGAGCAGATCAAGGGAAAATGATTCAGGTAAACATTTCTATTACCATTTTGTCATTGATATGCCATATGTCAATGAAGCAGCTTTGTACTCCTCAGCATCAGCATAAATGTAACAAAGTGCATCTGTGCACCTGGCTATAGATATATAGTGCATCTGGCTATAGATATTAAAGTGTTTGCATATTTTTAAAAGCAGTAAATTAACTTTAAAACGACTCTGTGAGACTCATTAAAACAGCTGCTGGAAGCGCTGTACAAAGCATTGACAACTGACAGCGTCTGCAGCTGCTTGAATATAATCAGACATGCTGCGATTACTTGCAGACAATCACCCCTGGTTCCAAAACAGTTTGCATCGAGGGATGGTCATCTGCAGGTAATCTTTGCTCCTGCACTGAACAGTGCTCATAAGATGACACATGGGCACCATTCAGTTCAGTAGTATTCTGAACCTAGGCCAGTGTGTTGACGTTTCCCCTGGGGGCAGGGCCATAACAGCCTGGGCCCAGAGGAAGTGGGTTGAATGATGCTGGTTGACATCTACTGGTGGACAGGAATTATTGTGAAGCAGCTCGGGATTAAAGGAGAGTGTTGCAGCAAAAGCTGTTTTGTTTATTATTGCTGGCCTATTCATTTTTTTTATAGAGTTCTGCTTTAAAGATGAGAACTCAAATTTTAAAGTGCAGCTTACAGTACCTGCTGTCTGTTTATATTAAAAGGCTAACAGGCTGCCAATTCACTACTGCCAGAGAAAGCAATGAGAGATGAGCTGGAATTTCAGCGACTGTTGTAAACCTTGTGAATGAATTTTTCCACAGTGCCTTCAGCTATAGATAAGAATGATGGATTATTTCAAAGCTTTTTACTGCATGTTAAGAATATGCAAATAAATACATGTCTGTAACCACAGGGTTATTCACATTTATTTGGTTTGTAGACACAATTAAAAAAAACTGTGACATGTGCTAAGTCTAGCCTGGATAAATAATATTTTATTACTTCTCATGATTAAACCATTGTCTTTTTGTATAACAGATACAGTGACATTAAACTCATTTAATAATGCTACACAAGCTGAAGATACCAGTAGGACTACACCAATTTCACAGAAATCTTCCTCTCAGGTAATCCTCTTGACAGCTCCTGGATGTGAGTATTATCAACAACAGTAAAGAAAAAATATTCCCCAAAGTGATACACTCCCTAGGAAAATATAACACACAAACTAATATCTATAAAAAAATGCTTTTTTTATAGATATTGGTGTTTGTGTTATATTTGTCCCAGGAAGTGTATCCCTTTGGGGGATATTTTTTATTTACTGCATATTCTGGGTTCCACACTCCTTGGGAATAAATATTTTGAATTTCTGAGGTCTGGATCACTTTGGTTTCCCCGCTTTTGGGGATCCCACATTTCTGTCACTTGCATACTATCAACAACACCAACAGTGTTTCACTGCAAATGGCAAAGGGTTAAATGTATGGCTGATGCAGGGTCCAAAACTTAAATCTTCATAGAGTGAAAAGTGTACAACTCCTTTAAGGCAATGTTTGTATTTGAAGGACTATAATTAATACCTAGTGGTGACCACCTTCCTTAAACAGTGGCTATTTATCAGGTAGGTTAGACTTCTTTTTAACACCTAATCAGCCAATAATGATTTATAAGTGCCAAAATGTTCTTCTTGCCAAAATCAATATGTTTTAACTAATGAACAAGCTGTGCACAAAGTCTGGATGCACAGCTTGTGAACAAAATAGAGAAAATGGCTTTATGGTGAGTACAAAAATCCTGAGTCCGCAACTGTATCTTCCAGGTCTCATATTGTCAATGAGTCAACATTGAAGGAGGGAGGCAGGTACGACTCAATCCACGGTTCCCACAGCTTCCTGAACAAGTGTCTCCTTGAATAGCAGTGAGCTTTTCAAAAAACCTCACCCTCGTAACCCTGTGTTTGACTTCAGCAAAGGGGAGGTCAGGGGTGCTCCAATTTCTTGCAATGACCCTTTTGGCCTCTGTGAGGATGAATGTGATTAGTCTGTGTTGACGTATCGTGCACCCCAGAGGTTGCTTGAGCAGCAGAGCTTCCAACGGGTCCTTGCGGAACGTCTGACCCGTAACTGTGTATAAAAGTTGGTAGACTCTATGCCAGAATCTCCTCACCCTGGGACAGGACCACCAAATGTGAATGACCGAACCCTCCACTCGGCAACCCCTGAAACAGTTCGGGGATTGAGATGGGATAGCTTTAGAGATCCGAAGCGGAACCAAGTACCATCTAAGGAGCAGTTTGTAATTGGCCTCAAGAGCTTGAACATTCATTGAGCTGTGCGAGGTCGTTGTCCAGATTTGCGTCCAGATGTCAGAGGCAATGGTACACCCTAAATCCCTTTCCCACTTGGAGATGTAAGGGGGAGGGGAGGCGTGCAGTTTGTCCAGCAGGAGGTTGTAAAGGGTAGATATAGTCCCTGAGCCATGTAGCCCGTTATGTAGTAGTCTCTCGAAAGGGGAAAGTGGGGGAATGGGTCTTACTGGCCCCAATCGGGTCAGCAAAAAATGTTTAATCTGTAGATATTGGAAAGCTTGTTTAACATTTAAGTTATATGTAGATTGGAGTATTGGGAAAGGCACCACCCCCGTGTCTGAACAGAAATCCCTAACCAGAGTCAGGGAGCTGGAGAGCCATAACTTAAACGCAGCAGGGTTCGAGAAGCCTGGCTGGAAGAGAGGGTTGCCATGAATAGACATCAGGGGGGGGTGTGAGGACATCCATCCCAATGGGTTTCGGAGTCCATCCCAAACTTTCAGAGTGTGTTTGAGAATTGGGTTATACAGATTCCCTCTATTTGGGGGGGGTAACCAGGGAAGGTTGAGGAGAGATATCGGGGAGCATGAGTAAGCCTCCAGAGAGACCCAAAGGGGCATTTCTGATTCCCCAAACCAGAGCACGAGAGGAGTCAGTTGTGCTGCTTGATAGTATTTCTGAAATAAGGGAAGTCCCAAACCCCCCTCCTGTTTGACCCGGTAAAGAACTGAATGTGAGACTCTAGGGAAGGATCCTTTCCAAATAAACTTTAAGATGCGGCGTTGGAGTAGTCTAAGTCGATAAGTGGGGATTGGGATCGGAAGTACCCTAGCGTGGTATAGAAATTTGGGAAGCAGGGTCATTTTAACGGCTGTGATCCTTCCGAGCCACGATATGGAATGTTTTTCCCAAGAGGACAGTAATGATTCAAGGTGTGAGAACAGTTTCGGATAGTTTGCAGCGTACAGTCGGTCATAGGAGGAGGTGAGATATATCCCCAAGTGTGGCAATGCATGGGGCACCCAGGTGTAGGGAAATGATTGTTGTAGGGAGGCACAAAGGGAGGGAGGGAGAGAGACATTGAGGGCTTTAGATTTTTGCAGATTAACAAAAAGGCCTGAAAGGGTACCAAATTGTTGTAGTAGGGGTTGGAGATTCGGGAGAGAGCGCAAGGGATCTGTAAGAATTAGGAGTGCATCATCTGCGAAGAGGCTAATTTTGTGATGATATCCTGCCACCTCTATACCTGTGATATCCGTGGCACTGCTGTATTTTAATCGGCAACCAAGTGTTATACTGCCACCTACAGGAGAAATGGACATGAGGCACATAGAAGCCCTAGAAACTATAAATTCCCCTACCTCACACCTGCTCAGTTGTAGCAAGCAGTCCGAAGAAGCAAGACAGCATATGAAGGGAGAGAGCTGTGTCCCTCAATGGACTCTGAGAAAATAATTTTATGATGAGTACAAAAATCCTATTTTTTTTCTATTGTCCACTGAGGGATCTGGATGTAGAACAAAATAGGATTTTTGTGCTCACCCTAAAATCCTTTTCAACCTATTGAGGGATACAGCTTTATGGTAATGAGAAACCAAGGGACATCCAAAAGCAGCCCCACAGCGCTAACAGGGTGTCTGCTGCATCCAATGTCCGGTCCCTCATCCTGGAAGCAAATTATGATCAACACTCTTAGCCTCACCTTGCACAGACATTTTCAAGCTCGCTGGACAACAATCTAAGGCCAGCAGACTGAGAGTGATCGTCACTGGCGCTTGTTAACACTTTACACACCTTTGCCACCACGTGATACAAATGCTGTGTCAGTTCTGGCCTTGAGCAAAGCTTGTAATGCTCACCGTTCCGCCAAACAGAAAAAAAGCTGGTATTTGCAATATGGTAGTACTCTTCACAGAGACAAGAATTCTTAACATTCTTATTTAGAGCATAGCGATAAAGCTTAACGATTTTAAAATAATGTTTAATAAAAGAAAAAGGGAAATGCTGCAAAAAAGATATTACAACAGAAAATAGAGCAAAAAAGAAAAAGAATGTGGTTACTTAGTAAAGTCCTGGGTTCTTTGGGTCCCAGCAGGGCTGAGTCAATGAAACATAAAATAGATCCAAGAGCTCCAGCTACCTTGTGCAGCAGTTTTTTGTGAGTTTCAAGAGGGCCTTACTGAGCCATGTCCACCCAGTCAAAAAGGCCCAGAGGTGTGAGACAGGAATGCTAAAGCATTTTATGAAATTCCAAATCACATTCCACAACGTCAGTTTTCTACATGCCATTATATTTTTATTTTATCACATGCTACTGTCTCATAACCCACAGAATATCGTGAAGCACCAAATTGTGATTTGATAGACACCAAACCTGATAGACATCTGATATGAACAGCCTCGATGAAAAAGGAAACCGTTTCCTCCTGCTTTTGGCAAGATAACCACTGACTGAAATTCATCTGGTGGAGTCATGTCATGCTCTTAAGGTGCCCATACACTGCTCGATTCTCGTACGAGAATCGTGGGAAATCCCGCGATCGTACGAGAATCGAACAGTGTGAACGAAGACCTGCGACCGTTTCTACTGTACGGTCGCACGTCTTTTGTCTAAGGAGCATGTTAGAAAACCAGCCGAGAATCGTACGATTTTTAGCTGGTTTGAACGGTGCTCGGGAGACAAATGCCGAACGGGCCGGTGTGCGCACGCACTGCCCGTTCAACATTGCGGTCATCGGAAGCCCGCCCCTCAGGGGGGCGGGCTTGCGATGATCGAGAGTGCGATCTGCCTGTCCAAGATGGGCAGATCGTACGTTTTTTTAATCACTTTACAACCATCGCAAGACTAAGATCTTGCGATGGTTGTACAGTGTATGGCCACCTTAAGAAAGAGAAAACGTGTCTGATAGAATCAGAAGAATTAGGTAGCGCTGCATCAGATTCAGCTGGGGAATGTGATGGAGGGTGTTTCAACCCCTTATGATCAGGAGGAGCTACAGGTTGCTTTAACAGAGACATAAAGCTTTGCATAACTAAATTAGGAAGGATCATCCGAGGGATTTAAATACAGCTGCTGACGCTGCGCTGTATTACAAGATGATTTACCCACAGGGTGACCACCCTTCTGCTTGGAGCTAGACATTTTTCAAAGGGTGTATGCCTTTTATGGGAAAGAGACACCCAAAACCCCCAGGAGTACACATGGACCCGAGCTGGAGTCGATGCAGTAGGGTTAACGTGCAGCGATGGCTCTGTGACCGCTGATTACTGCAGGCGGCATGTAAGGAAAACCAGAATGGTTTTTTAATGCCTAAAGCAGTTGGCGGTGTGTCTAACTTCTATCAGTCAAGGCATCTGTGAGGAAAAAGTGCAGAAATCCAGTAGCCGCGGGGGATGCGCGTGTATGCAGTACATCGTGCCACTATGTCCTGGCCCCAGGAGTAGGGCGATGGGACGCTGAGAAAAGTGCATGCATACCAAAACAAACATATAGCCCCATCCTGACAGTGCAGAAAAAGCCTGCTAGAAATGCACAACAGTGCGCCTTCAGAGACCGGAACAGTGAACTGTCACAGCTCTGGTCCCAATAACTCCCCAGAAAACTTGCCTGACCTGAAAAGCAGAGTCCTTTGTCAAGTGGAAAACAGACAGGTAGTCAGTGCCACCTGCAGGACCATCGCAGAGAGAACATTAGTATAAAAACTGGGAAAACCTGCATTTGTTGGCTAACTGGAGAGAGACTTCAATGGATACAGTGGCCACATCTGACCGAGCACACCTGGGATTCATGCCGCAGGAAACCCAAAATGCCGCATGTGACTATATCCTTACATTTACACATAGGCAGCCTTCCATTGTCAATGAGTGGCATCGTTTGGGGTCAGTATGAATATAATATATTTCATTATACAAATAGAGCCGTCCTTTCTTTCCCTATGCTGTCCTCAGTATAACTTTTATTATTGTTTAGCAGTGTTCTACACAGCAATGGTAATATATAATATATGAGCATGTCTGTGCAAATAATGCCAAAAACAGCAATTCTTTTTTTAAATCTCTGTCAGCACAAACACAACCCAGTTTTGTTTTTTGTATTTTATATTGCAGACTCGTGACCCAAGTATTATGGCCAGTGGGTCAAGGCGAAGGCTGAGGAGTGAGAGTTCATATGACATTGACAATATTGTAATCCCCATGAACCTGGTGGCACCTACTAAACTGGAGAAACTTCAGTACAAAGAAATCCTTACTCCCAGGTACAACTCATTCACAATGGGGGGAATTTATCAAAACTAGAGGCAACCAATCAGCTTCTCTCTTCAGTTTGCTCAGTTGAGATTTGAAAATAAGAGATAGAAGCTGATTGGTTTCCATGCACATCTGCTCCAGATTTTGTCTGCTCCAGTTGTGATAAATCCCCCCCAATTAATGCACAAAGGGAAGTATAGTGGTTGCCCATTAGAGTCAGTCAAATTTGTTTCATTCATTTTGATACCATGACTGAAAAGGTCAGCTAACAATCGCATTGTGTGCTGTGTAGAAAAACTCTAAATATTCTATACTCCACAAACATTTTCATGTACAAGATCTGTAGTTAGGGTTCCGTAGGCCAGTTTCTGTAATCAGTCTATTCAGTCCATTCTGACTAAACCTGTACTAGCGTATTGTGTTTGCTTTTAGAAATCAACTGCAACAATTTTTAATGAATTGTTTTGTTTTTTTACCTTGTAGTTTTAAAGAGATGGTCTATGAACCTTTGGAAACACCCCCAGATGAAGAGGTTGGTGTCGTTGTTTACCCATATCTTCAGAAAAAATCACTTCTACTGTCGTGGTAAACAACCTGCTTCCCTATTTATAATGGTCTGCCCCTCTAGAAACTTCAGCGCGAAATTATAGCTAATTTGCCTACAAACGTCAGGTGGTCATAATAATCTGGCCACTCAGGAGAGAGAGAGAGAGAATATATATGAAACCCCCACAGGACAGAAATGCTATTCTCAGAGAATCTTAATCAATTGTAAAATTGCTACCTGCATCTAGCAAAAGTGTCCAGTTTGCCCAGGACCAGAGGGATGTTTAATAAAACCTCATGTTATAGAAAGCAGTATATCCACAAATACTAGCAACTGAAGGTATATGCAATTCTCAACTTATCCTATAAAAGCTAAACATGGCCTTGGCCTTCTCAGTGGATCCACTTATCACAGTATGGGCCCATTCACACTAGATGTGTTAGGCTGTGGTGGGCAGCCTTGTCCAGCACAGTCCTAAGGCATTGACAAGCAAATTATTTACAATGTAGTCACTTCACTGCATTGTGGTGTTGTGTGCTGAAAAAGAGAACTACATACAATACTTTTTTTTTCAACGTGTAAACAAGCCGTGTAACGTGTAAAACCAAGTGGATGGCTCTGGAAAGGAAGAGGGCTGAATTGCCCTTTTTATAAGAAAAGTCACAATTTGCATATAACTTCAGTTGCTTGGATCTACTGGTTATTTGACATAGAGTTTTCACTGTATGTAACCTTTACATATGCAAATGTTCATCATATGCCCAGTTTTAATTGGCCAAGTTTACATTAACGTATTTTTTGCCACTATAAAAAAATAAACAGCCACTAAATACCTAGTACCAATTCAACCTATCAAGCAGCTACAAAGCACTGATTAAGTACCTCCAATATGTGTTACTTAAATAGTCTTTTTGTGTACTTTGTACTTTACACTTGTATTATTATATCAATATGTTTTGTCACAATGTTGAACACATGTATTGGTAGTGATGTCTAGTTACTTTGTTTTTTAGCTCAGCACATTGTTATTTATATTGTACTTTTTGCTACTCCCAGTTTATAAATTTTACTGCAGGTAAAATAAAACTGGTTTAGCTGGCCATAACTGAATAGTATTGAAGGCAAAAGGTGGCCCAACGAAGCACTGATGGGGTGATCATAATAATCTGGCCACTCAGTGTATATATGTACTCAACCATTGATTGGTATTGGCATTGTTTGCAGTAATAAATGCTGCGTGGTGGTTCAATATTATTGGCAGACACCACTAATGGTGAATATTTTTTATTCTCTCATCAGCTAGAAGATTTATCAGACGATACCTACTCCTGTCGACATGAGAGGTATGAGCGGAGAGAGAAGGCCCGCTGGTCATTTTGGGAACAGAACAACAAAAGGCCCAAGAGAAGCAGGTTAGCTGTCCAAGTTAAGTCTTTTCTAAATGTGTGAAATCATCTTCTCACTTGGCAGATTTGTGGATGAAGTTTTTGTATTTCTAGATCGTCATGCAATGGATTTGCGGTATGGTCAGGAAAGGCGTTTCCATCTAATGAAGAGAACTACAGTCCAGGTAACGTGTCACCAGTTTCTTGTGACACACCATCACCGAATACAAATGAAACTCAAAACCAACAGCCATCAGATGAACTGCAGCATGACACGGTAATGTGATCCTAAATTATTAACCCTTATATTTAAATAGGCCACACAATAATGCCTTTTCTGCTGCTTAGTGGGTATCAACTGCCATGATGCCATAATGTCCCAAAACATTGTATTTCTCTTCTGTGACATTGCAGAACATAGTGACCTGGACTGGAGGTCTGCTGGTATTGTCTGTCATGTTGTATTTGTGAATCAGTCACCTAATAGAGATAAGCAAATCCAAAACATTTTTCTATTTGTATAGACAAGGGAATGATTCAACACCCTCTTTTTTTCTTTTGATGTGTCCTCCTGGAGGAACTTCCCTTCCTGCCCCAGAGATACAACAGGAAGTGATAGTAAATCTATCCAAAGTGAGGGAGATCCCTCCTAGGCAGCTGTCACTAGAATACATGTCCGCACTGGAAGATTTCTCTCACCTCATGTTCCAGTGACAGCGGTAACAGTTTGCATTTCCTATCACTTTCTTTTCCTGTGATAATGGTCACCAGCACAAAGAGAGGATGAATCTGCACAGAAGACAACAATTAAAGTCTGACAACTTTCTAACTGTTCTTTACACAGTGCAAAACTAAAAGAAAATGTTTGGGCTAGAGAAAAACTTTTAAATGGACTTTGTCGTGAAGAAAAACTGCTGCAGATATAAAGTTTAGGCACCAAGAGGTGTTTGGAGGCTCTAATACTTTGCTGTTTTGACCAGCTTTACTGTTCTGACAGGCAGAGCTCTGGCACTTCCGGATAGTGCTGTAGCTTTGCCCTCCTGCACATTCCTGTGTGGGACCCAAGATAAGGGTCTGGTATGTAGTTTCATGTGGACCCCATGCATTATTGTACTCACCGATGATTGATTGCTGTTCCCAATCCAGATATATCTCTGATTCTATCTGGCCCCAAATAAGGACCTTCAACTTGTTGTATTTGTAATTTTTATGGTGCTGCTCTTATAGCTTCCAGGCTCACGAAATGTTGGATATCTAACCAGCAGAACATCTTTTGGGTGAAAACACCTGTGTGCTTCTAAACACATACAGCATTCTCCAATCACACCTTATCAAGCATGGCTACCCTTCAGTTAACTAGAAGGCTCCCTTCTGTGGTGAAACTACTCATCCCATGATGCATCTCTCATCGGGAGTCATGTCTGTGGCTGTGAGAATCTTGCAATGCCTCATGGGATTTGTAGTTCCACCACAGCTGGTGGGCCGGAGGTTTGCTACCCCTGCCTTAGAGTGAACTGCATTGATCAAATGCAGGGAACAAAAATCAAGTGTGAACGGGCACCCAAAAAAACGGTTGGTTTTGAGCTGTCTTAACCTTGGAAAGTATTGTAATGTTATTGTTTTATATCAGTTTTAAAGACTCAAGTGCTTAATTGCATTAAATGTATTATTGTGGCAGGTTGAGCAGTGGGAACAAAGAGTATTTCCTCTAACAGAAGCAGCGGCTCTGGACTTGGTAAATACGCACAAATCAGTGAAGCACACTAGACTACTAGCACATTTGGAAAATGAGCAGCAACATTCTCAGACCATCGTGAACAACTGGTTATGATGCAGTCATCACTCACACCCATGGACCAACCTGTAGCTGGATTAAGGTACATCACCCCCCCCCCCCCCCCCCCACAA